GTGGTCTTCATTATTAGAAAAACAATTAAAGTGAAAAACCTGCCGGTAAAACAGTACCTGTCTTTGTGTACAAGACATAGCTGGTTGTCTGTACCTGTAGCTGAGATTGAATTTGCAGGCTGGCTGTCAAAGTCACTTCTCACAGTTACTCAAGTCAGGAAAGGATTCAGCTAAACCCAGAATGGGCGGATTTCTAAGTTGCTTTGTGGTGCATAAACGGCGACAGGAATGAACAGTCTTTTGCAAGTAAGAAAATATTGAAGAGAAATTGTTCGTACTATTACAGATTGAAATGAAGCATTCTGGATGAAAATAATCACATTAAAAAATACCAGTTTATGTGAATTTCAGCATTTCTTGCTAACAAATTATAAGCAATGAACTGAATTGCGCTTGAAAATAGATAAAGATACAGAAAAATCATTATGGCAATCTTCATTATCATTAATGAGAACATGGCAAAGTCTTATAGCATCACATGCAGATTTTATCTTTAATGTGTGAATGGTCTCATTTGCAGTTTGATGGAGACAAATTTTGTCCATCCTCCAAGAAGGTGGTCAAAACCCATTCCTTTCTTACACAGATTAACAATTCAAAAACCTTGAAAATGTTTATGAGGTACAACCTAAAAGAAACAAAATCTCTTTATTAAACGTGTTTTCTCCACATGTTCATAAGAATGAGGGGGTTCGAATTCTTAACATTCACTTATTTTTATACAGTGCTCATGGCTTTTGAATGGTCTCTGTTAACTTAGATCACAGCTTTTTTTTACAAGAATATTTTGGTCCAATGGCTGGCTTTAAAGAGTTAATACATCCACTTTATTTCAAAGGATAACTCTGTTGATTTCTTCTTGTGCTTCTTCTGTGTACACTGCAGGGGACAAAAAAAAAAAAGCTTGGTGGGTAGGCTGGGGGGTTGCTGTGTTTTCATTTTATACATATTCGACTTCCTCAGCAACTCCAAAGACTTTGTATCTCTTCTGAAGCATCGTTGCACTCTTATCCAATGCTTTATAATTTCCATTGACAACCAAGATTTTATACAAACAAAAAGCAGTAGTGGATATATACAAAAAGTGACCTGAAAGGAATTTTGCAAAACAAACAAACAAGAAGTTACTCAGTTTCTTGAAGCTCTGTGTTTTAAAAATGATTTATAAAAGTGTTTGTTTTCAAAGAAGGTTACTTTAAACTTATTTCTTACGTTCTATCCTAGAAATATCATTAATGCCAGCTCTTATTCTCCTCAGTTTTTCTGAAAGCCTGTTGAGCTTCTCAGAAGGTGTGCATTACCCTTTCTAATTTAACTGGGGTGACCAACATGTTGAATGTAAAACTAAGATGTGTTTTCTGTAAATGTTTAGACATTGAATTTTTATAGTTATAAGAAAAAGTAATTAAGTTCTACAGAGAAATTAAATGTTTTCCCTACTTCTTGCTACTGTTCATAATTGACTTTGTTTTCTCTTCTGTAGTCATTTTACAAGCTCTACAACCTCTGTTTTTTGAGCGTTATTGAAGCTTGACAGTCTTAGTAGGGATGCGTAAGGGTCTGTCCTTTTTACCTGCTTGTGTTTTGCATGAATCTTGCAGGGATGTAACTGCGTTAAAGATGTAAGTCTCTCTTGCCAATCTGAAGGAAAATCATCAATGTGTTAAGAAATTACTGTGGGAAAAACAGGCTAAGAGTCAACTCCTTGGTCCTCTCTTTCCTTCCCTTATGCACAGGTCACAGAAGCCTTGTTTCCATAGGCAGCCAGTCTAGACTTGAAGGGTACCAGTGCAGTTGACAGAGGAACGTGCTTTTCCACTGAGGTGTGTGTGCACTTTAATGGCAACATTATTTCATCGATTCCTACGGAGTGACATTCCATTGCAAATGAAACAGCTGCTTTTTACAAATGCGCATCGCTCTCAGTTGCAAAGAGGCTTGTGGCTTTTTCCTCTCTTTCCACATAGCTTTGTAATACCCTCATTACAGGAAACTTATACTGCCCGAGGCTACCGACAGCAGTCTGTTTGCACTTCCAGAAGTCACATTAGCAACAAGCAGTTCGGTAAAATCAAAACAAATTTGGAAGAGCTAAAGGGTTTCTGTTATCAGCCATCTTTCCAGTGGAAGGCAAGGAGTAGCTGTGAGCAGCCAGGAGCACAGTTTCCAACCAGGGCCTCATTTCTTAGCAAACTCTTCTGATAGCTCCAGAAACAGGGATGATGTCCTGATGACACTGGCTTCACATGGACATACAAGAGAAGAAATACCTCTGTATTTGCTGGGAAGTTTCAGTAGCTAGACTGTAACTGCCTCTGGCATTTAAACTGAACATAGAACTGTTGAATATCCTGTTGTTAAATAAAGCCCAGATATCATTAACTTCCATAAAGGTTTGAGCTCTCATTAAAGGTTTATGAAGTCAACAAAATACAGCCCACAGTGCTGTCTCAGGACTGTGCTTTGCACAGTGAGGGAAAGATAATTTTCTGAGCAGTATCATTCCTGCAGCACTGAGAATCCTCACTAACCGTAGTCCCAGCTGAAGTGGATTAGTTGTTAGGGCTGTCAGGGAGGTGAGATCTAGGACATGGCTTTGAGTGGTAAGGCTTTGATTTGCACCCACTATTCATTTCACAATATCATTTGGCAATTTACAGAAACCTTAAAAAAATCTTTGTAGGTAAAATGAGAAAATCTGAATAGGACATAAAATTGTAATAAAATAAAAACTATAAAATATGGGGTTTTTTTCTGTTAGAAGTTGGCTTTCCAGAGTAGAATATAAAGATTTCAGTGAAATACAATTGTTCATTTACAGGTGAGCGTCTCTGTCTGATAGCAAGTCTCCTCAGCATATAAAGAATGTTGATCATCACCGTCCTGGGCATATATAGTTGTTTTTCAAACAGGAAAAAAGGTATTTTTTTTTCTCTGTTTAGTCTTCTCAGAGTGAATCTATAGTTCTCAGGTTTAAATATTTGCTATTCTTTTGGCTATTCCACACTGAATCTTTCTCCCTTTCCTGTGAGGGAGTGTAGGTATGGCTTTTGGAAGATCAGCTTGACAATTTCTGCGCTAGCCTTTGTGGGTGCCAGAGAAATTATACTTGAGCAAAACACCAGTGGGAGTTTTGGAAAGGAGGAAAAGGAAGAAAGCTCCTTTGGAATGGAGTTTGGCTTGCCTCTTGCTGTAAGTCTGTTGCTACATTTACCTACTCAGTATTAGTAAATCCTGAACTCCTCTAGCCTCTGCAGAGAGACTTTCTTTTCAAGAAATGAGGAATCACACAAAACTGTCAGCCTGTCTCTGCTCATAACATGTTGTATTTGTAGAAATCCTGTCTGGCTCTAAGCAATAACTTCAAGCTTATGTTTGTTGTTTCTGACTTGCAGTCATCTTCAACTGTGTTTTGGATAAGATGCCAGCTTCAGTATTTCTCTTCATGTAAATCAGACCTGGGCAGGGCAGTATCATTACTGTAGGTGGGAACAAAGAATGCAATGGGAATTAGGGCAAGAAGACTGTATTTTCTATTTATCTTAAAATTTTAAAATTATCTTTGGACATCTTTAGAGAACTGGAGCTGCTGGAGATCATGTCTAGTACTAAGCCTGAACTGGAGAAGGACTTGTTATTTACTGTGAGGCAAATTGGCTAATTTTTAATTGGCAGTCTAATAATCCTATCCATTTTCATAATTTCTCATGGTTGATTTTGACAAAGGATTACTAAGAAGACAAAGAGTAGTTTAGGAAATTGTTTGAGTCAGTTTCTTAGCAGCTTCTAAAAACTAAAGTATTTGCCTGTGGTTTAGGAAAGCACAAGATAACCTTAATGATTTGTTGCATATTGTGTAACATTTTCTATTCAAGATGGGACAGCTGTGCTTACAAAAGATCTTGTAAAATGTTGAGTGTTATCATTCTTCCATTTATAGCCAAAATACTTTTTCTACTGGTGGTGGCAGTGTGGGTGAAAAATTTTAGCTGGAGAGGAAGATCAGAAAAACTTCCTTATTTATTTTGTAATTTTAACTGAACCCTCCATCAAATACACATATTTTGACTATGTAGGGATCAGTTCTTTCTTCATAATTCAGACGTGGAAGCAGAAATAAAATCATAAAATCTTCTAAAAGAAGAAATAAAATCAACAGAAAGTTTAGAAAAAGTGCATTTATCTAGGGACATTATTCTTTAAGTCTTTTCCCTGGGATAGAGTTTATATTCTACTTGGGTTTTGCCATATTGTGTAAAGGAAGCTTAGAAAACATGGGTCACTTTTTTGTCAATGTCACTTGCACACAGTTTTAAGCTTTCTGAAGTGTCGAGAAATAGGTCACTTCCCTAGAATTCAGCAGTCAGTTTTCATGTTTAGTGGAGCTGAAGGTTAGGCAAAATTGCAAAGCCTCTTTTGTTTTTCTTTTTTAAGCCATTATTCAACCTTGAAATGAAAACTCAGTCACTAAACTATGCTAAATAGCTCGTTTCCCTAGTTTGCTGATTGAGCTAAATGGCCTTTGGAGATATTTATGAAGATGACTTACCCTTCTCTTATACACAGCAGTCATGCTTCTTCATCCATGTAATAGAAACCAGAGAAACTCGGGCCGAAGGTTTTCACATTCTGAGATGGTTTAGCTATTTTTGCAATAAATTTAGAGTTTTAATCCGAGACCTGAGTTTTACATTTTGGAATGCAGCATACCGTTTTTTCCTGAGAATGTGACCTATAAAAACAAGAAGCATACTGGGGGGAAGTCGGGTCCCCATAGCCATCACCATTCAGCTCTACGGCCTCATCCGCGCTCTCCAAGTCCGCACATGGAGAAAGGGAAGAGCGGGGCCGGCGGGCGCAGCGGACCAGCAGGGGGCGCTCCCGCCCCGCCGGTCAGCGCCCCCCGGGCCGGCGGGGCCGCGGCGGGCACCGCGCTGCCCGCGCGACAGGAAGTGACGTCACTCCGCCCTGCCGGAAGTGGGACCCCGGAAGTGGGGAGTCCTCGGGGGCGGGGGAGGCCATTGGCGGGGTCATCCTGCCTCTCGCTTTGCAGAGTCCGCGGGGATTGCGTGAAGGACGCGTTCGGACGCTGCGGCGGGTGTTAGAAGGGGAAAGCCTTAACGCCTTGCGGAGTGCGGGCTTGGTTCCGCGGTGTGCTGGGCTGCGTGTTGCTCATACAAGTCCACAACGTGGGCATCTGCCTGATTGACAGGTACCAACTGAACGCACCACTTGTCAAAAGTTTAACATTTAGATAGAAACCCTATAGAAAGGAAGTGGGGAGAACGGCTTTTGCACGTTACTATCGGTTTTGTGGGGTTTTTATTTGTTCTGTGTTTTGTTGGTTTTTTTTTTTTGGCTGCACAAAGACACTTCCTAATTCCTCCCGTGTGCACAAATCTCCTTGCAGCCATGTAGAAGACATTAGGAAACCTCTCTAGTTTTGTGATATTGCATTAACCCATTTAATCACATGCCTACATCTGGAAACATTTCCAGTCTCATGTAAAACTTGGACATACTTTATTCAAAGGCAATATTCAGCAATAAAATTATTTGAATTTTATTTACAAATTCAATATAGAATGAGTAAACATAAGGTCTAATTGAAAAGTGAAGGTTTTCTAAGGCATCACAAAATGTGTGTTAATTTTTTCTGTGCAAATGCACAGAAAGTGACTTGCTGTTCTCAGAAGTCTCTTGGAAAATGGGTTGCAGGCAGTTAGTCTGAAAAGAAAGCTGAAATCTGACTTGTATGTAGTTATTTAAATTCTCATGTTACTTCAGCTGGGGAAGAATACAAGATTCTTTCACTGAAATCTCTATGCATTTTTCCTGCTGGCTTTAGCAGGCATTTGGTAAGATGGCAAAGATTATGATCTTCTTGTGGGAGTATGCGTTTTTTTCGTTATTCTTCTAAACCTGCTCCTCCCCATCTTTATAGCAGTGTTAGCAGAGAAAAAGAAAAAAAAAAAAAAAAGGCTTCTTGAAGAAAACTAATAAAAAGTAGCCTTAAGCAAAAATCCAAAGGAGAACATCTTCATTGGAGGCTTCAAGTGAATTTGGCAAGAGTGGCTCAGTGTCACAGATGGGGAACTATCCAGCAGAACTCTCCTTGCAGTCCTCAGGAAATCAAATTAGCCTGACAAATGTCTGGCTGCACACTTCAGAACTAAACTCATGCATGTTCTAGCAACATCTGCTGTTACTTATGTGAATGTGGCAGAATAAAATTGAACATAACATGTGCTAGTGAGCCAGCAAATCTGACTTTGATCTTTCTCACTTATTCAGGACAAAAGGAGGGAATGAAGTACAACATGGAAAACAGTCTGTAGAATACAATTTTAAAATGTGAATCGTGACTAAAAATATTGAAAGTGTCCTTTTTCAAATCACACTATCAGTGTACAGCAGGTCTTTTTTCCAGGAACCTCTCCTTGTTCTGAACAGTTGGCCATTCAGTGAGGAACAGGATCTGATTTCCTAAGTTGGCATACTGCAATTTGTGAAGAGTGAAGTCCAGATATCAGAGACTTTTCAATGAACCAGAGAGAGAGACAAATTCTAACATCAAATGTGGTCATGAAAGCAACTTCTTAGCAAGAATAATTAATAATTAAAGGCATATTTTCACAATTTGAAGGGAAAAAATATGCATAATATAAATTCTTCCTATGAGTCATTTTGATCCTTGTTCATTTTGATCAAGTAAATACAATACTGCATCTTCTAAAGGAAAAAAAAATGTGCTTTGAACACATAATGTTTGTAAAAGAGTATCTTTAAGAATCCTTTACTTACATTAAGGCTATCCATGCTTACACACCACTTGGCAGATTGTCACATCCTCATATTCATGTTCATGTTCAACTTCATTCTTTCCAATGTGTAGAATAATTGTTGACTCCAATTTTAAAAGCAAGTGTGCAGATGCATACTCATCAGTCATGGGTGTGCCATCTCTTGCATACCAAGCTCTTTATTGTTTATATTCTTGCTTCTTTCCCTGCTAATGATAACAATTATGGGTAAAAGCATTTTAGTAATGATGCAGTGGTAAGAGCAGGCATTTTGAATATTTGATTCTAGCTCTGCTATTAAGTTACTATTAATTTAGGTTTTAAACGTGTCATAGAGGAACTGAAGGACTGACTATTGACCTGTATTTTTACATGAGATACAAAGCAGCTCAATTAATTCCTACTTGTGCATGCAAAACAAGCTTGTGTATAGCTATCATTTATTGCATTTACGTGTAGAGTCCTATGCCTGTAATATCATAGGCAGTACAGAAATACAGGGAGACCTTTTCAAACACAATGAACTCGATATTCTATAGTCTAGCTCTTAACCTGCTGTGCTCCAGAGAATTAACATAAATGTCTTGCATTGCTGAGTTGTATCCTCCTCCCTAAAATGACCATATAGCACTTCTCAGATCTTCATGGCTTTTGAAGGGAGAAGAATAATCAGTGTGTGTGCAGCTCTCAAATTTTCCCATGAAGCTGGTGGAAAGCACAGGGAATTTTGATGTTAAGTTCAAGAATCAAATTTATTTCTCTTGTATGCCAGTGACGACATTAGGTTTAAGAACACAGAGCAAGTCAGAAAAGTATCATTCTGTTTATTTACACTTATGTAACATTCTAGTTTTGAGTTTGCTGAAGCCTGGATTATGGTTTGGGCTATGACTATGGTTATGATGAGCTATGAAGAACAAAACTCTCTACTCCCCTTCATACATTGTTATAATTATTGATAGATGAGTTTTGAATCCAGTATTTTTAGTAAGATAATGAGGTGGTGAATGGTATTCTTACTTGCATTTCAAGACTGGGTTGAGCTTGCAGTTTTCTTAGTTGAACAATCTTGTCTTGTTTTGTTCACTAAACAAGTTGGATCCAGATGTTTTCAATGAAAGACAGCTGTAAAAGTAATAGTGATGTGTTCCTGTGCAATAATGTACTGGACCTTAGCCATGCTTAAAACATTAGCATTTAAGTGTGGCTTTCAAGGAAGCAAATGTAACACTGTAGCTGGGTAGACTGTGGCTCCCTCCATGTGTGGACCTTTCTTTGAGGCTCTCCACCCCAAAATTTGGAAGAGTGTGCTTGTAGTAGGATTTATTTTCTGCTGGGTGTGAGCCTTGCAACAGTTCAGAGGGGAGGTTTCCGAAGTCTGCACGATCTTTTAGCTTTATGAGCTATCCTGGTTGCCAGCCATGCTTACAGGAGGAGCAGCAATATGGAATCAGAGAAATTCTTGAAGAAAATTTCTGGTGTTTTCTTCAGCCTTTTTTCCTCCGGTGACGCCAGAATGGTTTTTGCATTTGGTGATCTTCTTTGTGATATGCAAGCATTGCTCCTTGCAGGGATGGGTGCTGTGTTCTGAGACTGAATTGTAGAATAGTCCTAGGATAACACAGATTTCTGTGAAAGACCAATTAATGTATTATTTCTAATATTATCAGAAAAAGTTAAGAAAAAATAAAATTACCTTTAAGTGCTTCGATTTTTTTAAGACTTAGAAACCAGCTTACACCTTAATACTTAGGAAAATTTGACTCTTAATGAGGACAGTTTTGCATAGTTTCCAATACCCTCTTACATGTGGGCTGCAGTAACCAAGGGCCAGAGTCTCAAAGGTAATTAGGTGTTTCAGTATTCTGTGATGTCTGACACAGAATTAGGCAACAAGTCCACTGAATACACAGGAAAGGCTGTTTGTGCTGTGTGCTATAAACACACAAAAGTCTAGAGACCAAATATAAAGTATATGTGAAGAAAGCCAGAGGGAACGTAATGTTTTAACTTAAGTGAGGCTAGAGGTGGCAGGTGGGGGGAAAAAAGACCCAACTGAGGGGATTTTTTGAGCATATTGATTGTGGTTTCATGATGTGCTTTGCATTTAAGTTCTGTTTAAGAGTTGGTCAAGCACAGAACCAGTTGGAGATCTGAAAGGTTCTTACTGCAGACAAGTGATGTGATTGGCAGTAATTTCCTAATTTTACTTTGGTCCTGATCAGAAAGGCTTTTAATTTCACAAGCATGAGGTCTTCTGTTGATGGGCAGATGAGTAAGAACTCATTTTCTTCTTTAATACATATTTATAATGCTGTACTAACTGATCAGCATAGTCCTGGTCTGTGTGTACAATGTGTACGTATATATAGTGCTCCTAAGCCATACACTGGTTTTAAATACTGATCTCAACAGCTGCTCCTCTCCAGAATATTGTGTTAAAGAAAGAAATCTCTGGAAATCTAGGTAAATAAAAGTTTTTCTGGAAAGTATAACAAAAAGAACAAAAATCTAAATGACAGGCCTAGTATAAGCCTTTCTCAGACATTTATATCTGGGTGAATCAAGGTTTATTGAGTTTTTATGGCTGCCATTGAGCCTGTCTGCTTTGCTTTTTTTTTCCAGCCAGCAGTGTTCTTCCTCAGAATTTGTTGCTGTTGTCTTCCTAAACTCTTTAAGACTTCTCAATGTAGAAATGTATTATTTTGTCTGGCAATATACAGAGTGCCAGTATTCTCAGGAGGAGAGAGCATTAAGGGAAAACAGGTATACATCTTGATGTTGCCAGCTGAATAAAAATGATTAAGAAACAAACTGTTGAATCTGAAGATACATCCCCTGACTGCAATTCATTCTTTCTTGTGGCTTTTCAACATCTTGGTTGTGGCCTTTTTTAATCTGAAATTTACTGTTTTTCTGAATAATATACAAACAAGTTATACAGTTGTCTTGAAATGGGTCAGATGTTACCAATATAAATGTTTTGTTCTTTCAAGAAGATTAGCAAAATCCAACACCTGCCTTTCTACTTGTCTACAAGTTGGGCTTAGCTAGTCATCAGCTCTCACTGAACTCTTAATGGAGAGACTGGTGGAATGAAGTAAGGATATTAGAAATTTATAATTTGTTCTTCCTTGGCTTCAGAGCATTTTAGTGATCTTGCAGCTGGTGAGAGAAGTAACAGGAGCCATTAATTTTCTCAGTGTAAGCACTTTGTTTCAGACTGGTTGATAGGAGAAGAAGGCGACAGTGAAATAAGAAATACAGTCAGGAAAAATGAAGACAGATCAGAATGACTTCATTGACTGGATGACCTGTGATGTAGTGAAATCAAATTCGTCTGTATTGAATAAAAGTAATGCTCTGTAAAAGTACTTCACAAACAGCTCTGTCTCAGGAATTTTCTCTG